TACAGGCGTAAGCCACCGTGCCCCAGCCTATTGATTTTCAAATGTTAAACCAACCCTGCATTCCTAGGATAAATCCTACCTGAAGGCTGGGTCTCTGTTATCTTATTACATGTTATATAAACAAAATACTGTGTTATGGGATTTATAACTATGTAAAAGCAAAATGCATGACACCGATAACAGAAAGAAGGGGATAAACAGAAGCACACTAGTGTAAAGTTCTTAAACTGTGTAAAGTAGTATAACACACCTTGAAGGTGGACTGTTGTAAGTTAAACCCCAAAGCAACCAATAAAATAACACAGTAAGGAGTTATAGCTAATAAGTCAACAAAGGAGATATGTTGGATTCAAAAAATATGTGAAATGGTATCTCCTTGATTTTCTTTTTTTTTTTTTTTTCTTTTTTTGAGACGGAGTCTCACTCTGTTGCCCAGGCTGGAGGGCAGTGGTGCGATCTTGGCTCTCTGCAACCTCCGCTTCCCAGATTCATGCGAGTCTTCTGCTTCAGCCTCCCAAGTAGCCGGGACTACAGGCATGTACCACCACGCGCAGCTAATGTTTTTGTATTTTTAGTAGAGACAGGGTTTCACCATCTTGGCTAGGCTGGTCTCAAACTCCTGACCTCATGATCCACCAGCCTTGGCCTTCCAAAGTGCTGGTATTACAGGCGTGAGCCACCGCGCCTGGCGGTTTTGATTTTCATTAATAACAAATGACGTTGCGCATCTCTTCATAGGCTTATTGGCCATTTTTATGTCTTCTTTGGAAAAATGTCTAGTCAGTTCTCTGCATGTTTTTTAAATTGAGTTGTCTTTTCATTATTGAGTTGTAAATTCCACCTAGATTAAATAATCTAACTTGAAAATAAAGCTATAAAAATATTAAGATAAAATACAGGAAAATACTTTTATTTTCTTGGGCTTTTCTAAGCAAGACATAAAATCTGGAAACCATAAAAAACAACTAGGCCAGGTGCAGTGGCTCATGCCTGTAAATCTAGCACTTCGGGAGGCCAAGGCAGGCAGATCACTTGAGCCCAAGAGTTTAAGACCAGCCTGGGCAATGTGGCAAAACCCTGTCTCTACTAAAAATATAAAAAATTAGCTGGGCATGGTGGTGTGTGCCTGTAGTCCCAGCTACCTGGGAGGCTGAGGTAGGAGGATCACCTGAGCCGAGAGGTTAAGGCCTGCAGTGAGCTGTGATTGTGCCACTGCACTCCAGCCTGGGTGACAGAGGAGACCCTATCTAATAATAATAATGATAAAAAATTCAAAAGGAAGAACTAGCAGATTTGATCACACAAAAAGTAAAGCTTTCTGCATGTCAAAGCAAAAGGGAGGCACAGAGTGGGAGAAAAATAATATTTTTGAAGAGGGAAGAGGTTAATATCCAGAATACATAAAGAGCTACAAATCTTTTTGTTTAATCTATAGGAAAAAAAAATAGGCAAAAATTGAGGCAGTTTACAAGGGGTAAAAATACAAAAGGCCAGTAATCGAATGAAAAATATTCATCCTCAAACAGAGAAATACAAAATCACTAAAGACTGCTAAGATCCAGTGATTTGAGGGAGTAAGTAAATGAGTACTCCTTCATCTTACCAGGAGATTCTAAAACTGTAGAGTCTTGGAAAAACCTAAAGATTCCACCAAAAAACTATTATAACTGAACAGTAACATTACAGGATACAAAATAAATATACAAAAATCAGTAGCATTTCTGTATGCCAACAGTGAATGATCTGGAAAAGAAATCAAGAAAGTAGCCGGGCACAGTGCCTCACGCCTGTAATCCCAGCACTTTGGGAGGCCGAGGCGGGCGGATCACGAGGTCAGGAGATCGAGACCATCCTGGCTAACACTGTGAAACCCCGTCTCTACTAAAAATACAAAAAATTAGCCGGGCGTGGTGGCAAGCGCCTGTAGTCCCAGCTATTCGGGAGACTGAGGCAGGAGAATGGCGTGAACCTGGGAAGTGGAGCTTGCAGTGAGCCGAGATCGCACCACTGCACTCCAGCCCGGGCGACAGAGCGAGACTCCATCTCAAAAAAAAAAAAAAAGTTAAAAAAAAAAAAAGAAATCAAGAAAGTAATCCCATTTACAGTGGCTACAAATGAAATACCTAAGAATAAACTTAACCAAAGAAGTGAAAGATTTCTACAATGAAAACTATAAAACATTGATGCAAGAATTTGAAGAGGACATGAAAAAATGGAAAGATATTCCAGGTTTATGAATTGGAAAAAATCACTATTCTCAAAATGACCTCATTACCCAAAGCAGTCTGCAGATTCAGTGCAGTTCCTATCAGAATACCAGTGACATTCTTCACAGAAATAGAAAATCATAATCCTGAAATTTATATGGAACCATAAAAGACCCATAATAGCCAAAGCCATCCTGAGCAAAAAGAACAGAACTGGAGGAATCACATTACCTGACTTCAAATTATACTGCAGAGCTATAGTAACCAAAACAGTATGATACTGGCATAAAAACAGACACATAGACCAGTGAAACAGAATAGAGAACCCAAAAATAAATGTGTACATCTACAGAGAACTTATTTTTAACACAGGTGCCAAGAACATACATTAGGGAAAGGACAATCTCTTCAATAAATGCTGCTGGGAAAACTGGATATGCATATGAAGAAGAATAAAACTAGACTCCTGTCTTTCACCATGTACAAAAATCAAATCAAAATGGATTAAAGACTTAAATCTAAATCTAAGACCTGAAACTACTAAAAGAAAACATTGGGGAAACTCTCCAAGACATTAGTCTGGACAAATTTGTTTTGTTTTTTTTGTTTTTTGAGACAGGCTCTCACTCTGCACCCAGGCTAGAATGCAGTGGCGTGATCTCGGCTCACTGCAACCTGCACCTCCTGGGTTCAAGCAATTCTCCTGCCTCAGCTTCCCAAGTAGCTAGGATTACAGGTGCGCCCCACCATGCTGACTAATTTTTGTGTTTTTAGTAGAGATGGGGTTTCACTATGTTGGCCAGGCTGGTCTTGAACTCCTGACATCAGGTGATCCACCCGCCTAAGCCTCCCAAGGTGCTGGGATCACAGGTGTGAGCCACTGCACCCGACCATGTTGGAAATAAGTAAAGGTGATGGGAGGAGGGAGGGGAAGAGGGAGGGGGCAAGGAGCCAGCAGGCATAGAAGGGGCAGGAAAGCCTAACAGAACTGTTGTTTTAGTGCTATTTTCCTTTCTGGATGATCCATTTTACTCGTTCAACCTCACGGCTCAATTCATTTCCATAAAGGCTTCTTGAGGCCAGATGCAGTGATTCACACCAGTAATCCCAACACTTTAGGAGGCCAAGGTGGGAGGATCACTTGAAGCCAAATATATACGTATATTTTCTTTCTTTCTTTTTTAGTCTTTCTAGTCTTGCTTTGTCACCCAGGCTGGAGTGCAGTGGCATGATCCCGGCTTACTGCAACCTCTGCCTCTCAGGTTCAAGGAATTCTGCCTCAGCCTCGAGTAGCTGGGATTACAGGCATGTGCCACCATGCCTGGCTAATTTTTTTTTGTATTTTTAATAGAGACAGGGTTTCACCATGTTGGCCAAACAGATCTCAAACTCCTGGCCTCAAGTGATTCGACCGCCTCGGCCTCCCTAAGTGCTGGGATTACAGGCGTGAGCCACAATGCCCAGCCACATTGACTAATTTTTGTATTTTTTGGTAGAGACAGGGCTTCACTGTGTCAGGCTGATCTCGAACTCCTGGCCTCAAGTGATTTGCCCTCCTCAGCCTCCCAAAGCATGGGGATTACAGGTATGAGCCATCACGCCCGACCTTGACAAAGATGTATTGAGTAAATACTCCAAAAGCACAGGCAACCAGCACAAAAATGGACAAATGGGATCACATCGAGTTAAAAAGCTCGTGCAGGCTGGGTGCAGTGGCTCACGCCTGCAATCCCAGCACTTTGGGAGGCCAAGGCCAGCAGATCACGAGGTCAGGAGTTCAAGAACAGCCTGGCCAACATGGCAAAACCCCATCTCTACTAAAAATACAAAAATTAGCCAGGTGTAGTGGTGGGCACCTGTAATCTCAGCTACTTGGGAGGCTGAGGCAGAAGAATCATTTGAACCCGGGAGGCAGAGGTTGCAGTGAGCCAAGATTGTGCTACTGCACTCTAGCCTGGGCAACACAGCAAGACTCTGTCTCAAAAAAAAAAAAAGAAAGAAAGAAAAAAAGCTCTTGCAGAGCAAAGGAAACAACAAAGTGAAGAGACAACTCAGAATGGGAGAAAATATTTGCAAACTACCCATCTGAAATACCTGTACGTAGCACCAACTTCTATATCCAAGCTTTGTTTTTGTAATAAAAAATAAGAAACAATCTAACGTCCATTAACAAGAGGAATAGTTATGTAAACTGTGGTAATCTGTCCTGTGGATTGCTGCAGTTTTTTAGTAGAGATGGGGTTTCACCATGTTGGCCAGACTGGTCTCAAACTCCTGACCTCAGGTGATCCACCCGCCTGGGATTACAAGTGTGAGCCACTGCACCCGGCCAGTGTTGGGGTCATTGTGATGTCTTTGTTGGATAAGAATACCCTCATCCCAGAAAGTTGAAGAATGTGGTGATATGCTGGGGACGCATCTTGGCTTCCACTGGTTATCCTTTCTTCACTGTCATCCTCACCTGTTTTTCTCAGTTTGAACTGAGACATAGATCAAGCCTTTTACTAGGAATCTGTCTGTTACCAGCTTCTTGAAGCATATGGATATATATGCTGCCCGATCATGTATGTCAGTGTTCCCCTTATTTACCTTTGCTGATTAGCCAGGGATGGTCTGACATTTGAATTTGTATCTAGTAAAACTGTCACATTTGTCTTCTTAGAGGAACTGAGATTTCACTGTGTTTTTCTTTGCCTGGCATATTTCTTCCTCTAACAAGTCAGAGATTTGTTGCATGTTACTTGCTGCAATAGAGCAAATAAGGAATACTACCTTGCCTCTGTCTCATTACAGCTGTCCCCAATCTCTTCATGCTGGAAACAGTGGATTCTCTGAAGTTGGCAGACAAAGTGAACAGTTCCTGGCAGAAAAAAGGTTCTCCTGAAAGGTTAAAGGTTATGGTCCAGATTAACACCAGCGGAGAAGAGAGTAAGTGACCAGACCTGAATTGTAGATTTTTCTTCCCTTAGGATGGTTGAAGCTCAGGGAGAATGGGTGGCCCCAAGTGTCCGATGGATAAGGTTATGGAAACAAATCACAGGATCACAGGCCTCTAAGTAGGCTGTTTTATGTGTAATCTAGGTAGCATAATGACATGCAAACCAGTCTGTATATCATTCTTTACTACATCATGGTTCATTATATCTTAATTTTAGGGGAAGAAGAATGGATGGGGAGTCAAGAAGGAGATTGTGACTTTGTTTTGCATTTTGTTTTTTTCTGATTTTTTTTTTAGATGGGGTCTCGCTCTGTCGCCCAGGCTGGAGTGCAATGGCGTGATCTCAGCTTACTGCAACCTCTGCCTCCCAGGTTGAAGCAATTCTCCCACCTCAGCTTCCCAAGTAGCTAGGACTACAGGCATGCGCCACCACACCTGGCTAATGTTTGTATTTGTAGTAGAGACAGGGTTTCACCACATTGGCCAGACTGCTCTTGAACTCATGACCTCTCAAGTGATCCGTGAGCCACTGCAATAGGCCTTTTTTTTTTTTTTTTTTTTTTGAGATGGAGCCTCGCTCTGTCGCTCAGGCTGGAGTGCAGTGGCGCGATCTCAGCTCACTGCAACCTCCACCTCCTGGGTTCAAGCAGTTCTCCTGCCTCAGCCTCCCGAGTAGCTGGGATTACAGGCACACGCTACCACACCCAGCTAATATTTGTATTTTTAGTAGAGATGGAGTTTCGCCATATTGGCCAGGCTGGTCTTGAACTCCTGACCTCAGGTGATCCACCCACCTCAGCCTCCCAAAGTACTGAAGTTAAAGACATGAGCCACTGCGCCTGGCCTGGGATTGTGACTTTCATCTGAAAATCCCCAAAGGTCACCATCACTCCTGCAAGGAGTATTTTAAATTTTTAAGACCTAAGAGTATATAAATACTCTTAGATCTTAAAAAAATTACTTAATGTTGCATTAAGAAAGAATGGAAGATAATTACCATGAGTGGGCCGGGTGCGGTGGCTAACACCTGTAATCCCAGCACTCGAGAAGGATGAGGCAGGTGGATCACCTAAGGTCAGAAATTTGAGACCAGCCTAGCCAACATGGTGAAACTTCATCTCTACTATACATACGAAAATTAGCCAGGCATGGTGGTGTGTGCCCATAGTCCCAGCTGCTCGGGATGCTGAGGGCAGGAGGATCCCTTGAACCCCGGAGGTGAAGATTGCAGTGATCCGAGATCACGCCACTGCACTCCAGCCTGGGTGACAGAATGAGACTCCATCTCAAAAAAAAAAATTACTGTGAGCACCAGTCAATGAATATCTTTATGGGGCTTGGATTAACAATGTAACATAGTGTGAATAGAAGCATGGACTTTGAAATCAGACAGACCTTGGGTTTGAGCTACACTGCTTTCCAGTATTGTAACCTTGGATAAGTTACCCAATCTCTCTGTACCTCAGTTTCCTTTTCTGGCAGTGATATCATAATGCTTACTTCAGAGGGTATGGTTAGGATTGAATGTGATAATCCAGGCAACACTGTTAGCCCGGAGCCCTACACATGTTGTTAGCTATTCGTTAAGAATAAATGTATACAGATCAGGTATTCGATTGCAACCATCAAAGCACCAGTATTCACCAAATCTTAGTATGCAGGAACACAGTGGAGGCATCTGTTTTCTAGATAATGTACTAGAGTCAGACTGCCTGGGTTTAAATCCCAATTATCAATAGAAATCCGAAATCAACTATAGATCAGGTATTTATTGTATCATTTCTTGATAATTAGCTATAATATGCCCTAGTTAAAGACTGAAGTAAATGTTACTGGCATCTTCACCTAATAAATGGGAGCAAGACAATATCAATAGCTCTTTTTTTTTTTTTTTTTTCGAGACGGAGTCTCGCTCTGTCAGCCAGGCTGGAGTACAGTGGTGCAATCTCGGCTCACTGCAAGCTCTGCCTCCCGGGTTCACACCATTCTCCTGCCTCAGCCTCCTGAGTAGCTGGGACTACATGCACCCACCACCACACCTGGCTAATTTTTTTTTTTTTTTTTTTTTTTAGTAGAAACGGGATTTCACCACGTTAGCCAGGATGGTCTTGATCTCCTGACCTTGTGATCTGCCCGCCTTGGCCTCCCAAAGTGCTAGGATTACAGGCGTGAGCCACCGTGCCCGGCCTCAATTGCTCTTATAACTGTGTAACAAATAATTGCTTGCTGCAGATTTCTCCTCCAGTTGTTAATTAGAAAGTTCAGTTAAACTTTGCAAATATATAGCCAAAAATGTTTAACATGTACTTTATTTTAAATTTTTTGCAACTCCATTAAATTAATAAAACTATAAAAATTCTTGATTTAGAAAAGTAATTCTCAGGTTCAAATGGCATTTTGGCAATGCAAATCTTCCTGGTATCCCAAAAAAGCAAGGTTTTTTCTTTTCCATGTCTCCTAGCTGTTTTCAGCTGAAATCCTGAGATGGAGGAAAGATAATCCAACTGATAGCTCTTCTTGAGACATCTGGAACCTGACCAGAAGCAGAGCAGCATAGAAAACCCCAAGTATAAAGTTACTCTTTAGGACTTGAGGCTCTTTCAAGAGATTCTCTTGTTGGGGGTCACCTCTTCTGTCATAAAGAAGGGAGGAAAATGGAGCCTTCCTCTGGCCATTTACCCTTGCAGTATACCTGTTTTCCGTTTCTTTTCGTGAAGGTAAACATGGCCTCCCACCTTCAGAGACCATAGCCGTCGTGGAGCACATAAATGCCAAGTGTCCTAGCCTGGAGTTTGTGGGACTGATGACCATAGGAAGCTTTGGGCATGATCTTAGTCAAGGACCAAATCCAGACTTCCAGGTACTGGGGGGTCGGGGAGATTGCTCATGTGCTGAAGAAGCAGGGGCTGGAGTGCTTTTGCAGGGCTGGCTGCAGTGGGGACTGCAGAGAAATCCCAAACACTGCCTGTCGAGTGTTCTAGCCCTCTTCAGAACTCTTCTCAGAAGGAAAAGGGAAGAACAGGTTCCCAAAGCCCTGCAAACCTTTCTCAACTCAACTTGAACTTGGCTAAAACATAGTCTTTAGAGAATATGAGCTTTCTTCCTCTCCAGTGACTAATAGTTTTCTCAAAAGTGGGATAGTTTGCAAAAATCCCTTTCAGTAACTTCTGACAATTTTGACAGGCCTTGAAATCATAAGGAATACATAACCGGCCGGGCGCGGTGGCTCACGCCTGTAATCCCAGCACTTTGTGAGGCCAAGGCGGGTGGATCACGAGGTCAGGAGATTGAGGTCATCCTGGCCAACACGGTGAAACCCCATCTCTACTGCAAAAAAAAAAAAAATACAAAAAATTAGCCAGGCGTGCTGGCAGGCGCCTGTAGTCCCAGCTACTCGGGAGGCTGAGGCAGGAGAATGGCATGAACCCGGAATGCAGAGCTTGCAGTGAGCCGAGATCACGCCACTGTACTCCAGCCTGGGAGACAGAGCAAGACTCTGTCTCAAAAAATAAAAAAAAATAAAAAATAAAAAAGGAATACATAACCATTGTCAGAGAAGTTCAGATTCAGCCACTTTTGGGCATCATTAGAGAAGGCAGGAGTAAAATAGGTGTCGTCTCTTTCTGTCAGCTGTTACTGTCCCTCCGGGAGGAGCTGTGTAAAAAGCTGAACATCCCTGCTGACCAGGTTGAGCTAAGCATGGGCATGTCCGTGGATTTCCAGCACGCGGTAAGTGTTCAGCCAGTGCCCTGTCTGCCTCGAGGGGTGGGAGTAGGGTGTCTGAGAGGCTGACACAGGAGCAGATCTTTGCTATAGAAGCCTCAGAAATGCCTTGGGATGGTAATAGGGTACCCAGTCTCAGGGTCTCAGCTATTCCAGCATCTCCCATTCCCCATGCCCTTTCTTTTTTGAAAAGAGGTAGGCGCACGCCTGTAATCCATGCACTGTGGGAGGCCAAGCCGGGTGGATCACAAGGTCAGGAGTTCGAAACCAGCCTGACTAACATGGCGAAACCCCCTCTCTACTAAAACTACAAAAATTAGCTGGACATGGTGACGCACACCTGTAATCCAAGCTACTCGGGAGGCTGAGGCAGGAGGATTGCTTGAACCCGGGAGGCGGAGATTGCAGTGAGCCAAGGTCGCACCACTGCACTCCAGCCTGGCTGACAGAGCGAGACTCCGTCTCAAAAAAAATAAAAAATAAAATAAAAGTAAAAGAAATGTATAGAAATTATAGCCTGACATCTGAACTTTTAAAACAAAATATAATTCCATAAGTATAATCTAAAGGAAATAAGAAATTAATTATAAATATAATTCCATAAATTATAAACATAATTCCATAATTGTAGTCTAAAGGAAAATAAGAAATTAAGCTATAATTTTTGGAAAGGCATATCATTACATAAGTGCGTGGGCCTGGCTGTATCACAGCAAATCACAATGAAGCAGCCTAAGGCTTCATCTTTTTTTTTTTTTTTTTGGAAACTGAGTCTTGCTCTATTGTCCAGGCTGGAGTGTAGTGGCGCAATCTCAGCTCACTGCAACTTCCACCTCCCAGGTTCAAGCGATTCTCCTGCCTCAGCCTCTGAAGTAGCTGGGATTGCAGGCGCCTGCCACCATGCCCGGCTAATTTTTGTATTTTTAGTTGAGATGGGGTTTCACCATGCTGGCCAGGCTGTTCTTGAACTCCTGACCTCAGGTAACCCACCCACCTCAGCCTCCCAAAGTGATGGGATTACAGGCATGAGCCACCACACCCATCCGAGGCTTACTCTTACGTGTAGATTCACCAACAATCTTATGTGTACATCAACAGCTGTAAATATCAACTGATACAAGTGTGCTAGATTGGCAATGTAAATACATGATTTTCTGAAATAGCAAATAACTTGATAAAGTTTCAAAAATCAAAATATAAATTTGCATTCCTGGAAAATTGTATTTCTTAAAACAGTGCAAAAATACATTGCATTGGTAAGTAAAATGGAATTTGATCAGATAATTATAAGGATTTTTTTTCATCTACTGACCGTGGCACATTGGAAAGGTGGGTGTGCTGTGCTGTGCGGCTGCATCCCACACTGGACGTCTAATGTCCTTGACCTGCACCTAGCTGAGTGCCAGCCACACTCCCCAACCACTGGAAATCTAGAGAAACCCAACTTGTTTCCTGTATACGCCCTCAGAGGTCAAATCTCTGAGGAGAACCATCACCCCGAAGCCATCTTTGGCTGTTATTATTCTTCATAGACGGCTCTTGAGAGCCAGAATGGGGGCACAGCTTCAGCACTGGCTCCATTTTATTATTTTAAACCTGATCCTCGATACCTTCTCTTCTTTCCTACAGATTGAAGTAGGATCTACAAATGTCCGAATAGGAAGCATCATTTTTGGAGAGCGGGATTACTCAAAGAAACCCACCCCGGACAAGTGCGCAGCAGATGTGAAGGCGCCGCGGGAGGTGGCACAGGAGCACTGAGCCAGGGAATACTGAGAGTACTAACTATGCACTAACCTAGATTTTCTTTTTTTTTTTTTGTGAGACGGAGTCTCGCTCTGTCGCCCGGGCTGGAGTGCAGTGGCGGGATCTCGGCTCACTGCAAGCTCCGCCTCCCGGGTTCACGCCATTCTCCTGCCTCAGCCTCCCGTGTAGCTGGGACTACAGGCGCCCGCCACCTCGCCCGGCTAGTTTTTTGTATTTTTTAGTAGAGACGGGGTTTCACTGTGTTAGCCAGGATGGTCTTGATCTCCTGACCTCGTGATCCACCCGTCTCGGCCTCCCAAAGTGCTGGGATTACAGGCTTGAGCCACCGCGCCCGGCCTCCCCTTTTTCATCTCATTTTAATAGGAAATTCCTTATGGTTAACTACTCCCTACAAACTCCTACTACATTGTATAGATTGCTGCTCTGGAATAAGGTGATTTCTGCCCCCAGATTCTTCCCTAGCCGATAGATATGTGAAGATACTCCCAACTGTGGAATGGCAGTACAGGTAACTTCAGGAAATGGCTCGGGTTAATTCTCAAAACACAAATTGTTGCTGGCCAGGCACGGTGACTCATGCCTGTAATCCCAGCAATTTGGGAGGCAGAGGTGGAAGGATCGCCTGAGCCTAGGAGTTCAAGACCAGCCTCAGCAACATCAGGAGACCCCATCTCTACAAAAAATTTAAAAATTAACTGGGCATGGTGGCTGAGGTGGAAGAATCACTTGAGCCCAGGAGTTTGAGGCTGCAGTGAGGTATGATTGCACCACTGTACTCCTGCCTAAAAAAATAAAACATAAATAAAATGTCCCAATAGTCCATCAAGGCTTTGATCACTTGGGGAGTTCTTCGTAGATGCTGTCACATTTCTTAAAGCAACCTTTTAATATACAGATAATACCCCCCCACACACCTTTTTTAGAGACAGCCTGTCTCTTAAAAAAAAAAAAATTAATTTGGTAGTGAGAGCTTGTGTCACTGCCAGTCTGTGGTATCCCTGAAATTAAGGGATAACATAAGCAGGAATTGGGCCTTTCTGACATCGTCCTTAAGAGACAGGACTTTTTGAGTTTTTCCTCTGGGACCTACAGTGATGAGCGTTTAATGATTTATCTCCTCCACTATAATCTCTTTAGGATGATTTTTTTAATCAAAAACCAGGGAATATCATTACTCCTAAGAAACGAAAGATTCCTTCAAAGCCTGTTCAGGCACATGGTTTCAACAAAGCCTGACTTTGACGTTCCTTGTCCTGAGGAGCACTTTCCAGGCACAGTTACAGCTTCCCCGCTGTATTTACAAGCCAAAATTGTGCAACTCTTCTGGATCATTTAATAAAGTAACAAGATCTTTAAAAAACCCAAAAACACCATTCTCCAATAGTCATGACAGATGGCTTCAGTATGGCTTGTTTTTTATTTTCCAGATGGCTTTTTCTCTTATTTTTTCAAGCCCCAGTCTGATTTTACAAGTAACTTTCAAACATGATGCTGCTGCCGAATGTACTTTTGTAAACTTAAAGATTATGATTCCTGTATTATTTCAGTGAGAGCTACAGTGTGATATTTCAGAGTCTATTAAATAAAAAATGTGAGTTTGAATTATACCATCTGTGCCAATTACAAAGCAATTAAAAGATTTATTTTTTATGATCTGGTGTAGTGAGTGAATGTAACAGGAGGGGGCATTGGAACCCACAGGAAGCAGCTGTGCTGGTGCCTTGGCATCGTGCCAGCTGGGCTTTGGAGGAGGGCTTCCCCACGGTTACAGACGCAGCCAATGCTACACCGTGGGTGAGAGGGATTCTGAACTTCTAAGGGCAAGAAAAAAGACATTTCAGGAATTACAGAAATAGACGTTACCCCTTGCTTCAAGAGACTTTTGAATTGCCTCTAGATGGCGACATTGGCTAACCGGAGGGACAAGCACTGGCTCTCCACTGTCAGCAATTTACCCTGAGAGGGACTCCTGGTTTACTCAGTCTCGTAGAGGCCAGAGAGGACATGACTCAAGTGATAGGGTGACTTGCAGAGCCTCAGGGGTTCAATACCAGCCAGCCTGGGCAAAATGGTGAAATCCTGTCTGTACCAAAAATACCCTCCCCCAAAATTAGCTGGGCATGGTGGCGCATGCCTGTGGTCCCAGCTACTCCAGGGGCTGAGGTGGGAGGATCAGTTGAGCCTGGGAGGCAGAAGTCGCAGTAAGCTGAGATCGCACCACTGCACTCCAGCCTGGGCGACAAGGTGAGACCCCATCTCAAAAAAAAAAAACAAAAAACAAAAACAGCGAATAAGGAGGAAAGCCAGGGAAGGCTCAATCAGCTCTAGATAAGGGAAGGACACCAAAGTGTGTCCAGAGTGACCCCAGCAGGATGGGATCTTTTGCAGAGAGAAAATTGAGGCAGGTTGTGAGTTTGTCTTTCGTTAACACATGATGGGTGGGAGGTTGGGTTTCTTCCAGATTTTCATGACAGCCAGTTCCTGGAGTTTGGACGGCTTGCTCTCCTGGAATGGACCCACCTGTGCAGCCTTGCAGTCTCTGAGGGCGCCGGGCCCTTGTCTGCCCTGAAGCCAGCCTCAGAAGGCTTGAGATGCCACAAAACCTCCCAACAGTCCATCAAGGCTTTGATCTCTTGGGGAGCTCCTCACAGAATCTGTCACAGTTCTCAAAGCAACCTCTTAATACTCAAATGGTACCCCCCTCCCTTTTGTTTAACATTGATGGCATATGTAGCACTATTCTCTATATTCTCTCATTTCACCATCACAACAGCTGGTACACTTGTGTAGGCTGATAGGCAATGTCCCTTTGTGGATGGGGAACTGGGGCCCAGAGAAGGTTCTGTGTTCTCCTGGTCTGAGGTCAGAGTGAGTTGGTGGCCGGACAAGAAATAAACTCAGGACTTGACTTTCTGGCCCAGAACATGGTCACTACTCCACACTGGTATCTTCTATCTCTACCTTTAATAATTGATAAGTGGCATATTCTTAGATGTGCAGCTTTCATTTAAATGAGCCTTATTACCATAAAATAAGTGTGTGTTTCTATTCCATTGGAACAGTTGAGAATTGATGCATCTTAATGCAGAACAAACTTTGAAACCACAGCCAGTGGGGGTGAGAAGGAAGGAGATCATTAAACCCAGCCATGAGTGGGATTGGCCTCCCCTCTCATCATCCCATCTCCCTCCCAAGCTCATTCCTCATGATTCAAGCTAATCTCACAGGCTGCAGGGCTCAGAGTGTGCAACCCTGTGCCTGCCCCCTGAAGCTGGACCAGCAGTGAATTCTGTTCCTTAAGGCTGGACACACAGGAATGAGGTCAGACAGGACATTCTTAAAATCCAGGACATCTTCATCCTTCAGAAAACAAGTGGCCCTGTGCATTCCACCAAAGCTTTGAAGGAGGAAGGACTCGCTTACCAATTCCTGAAGGGCTGCAGTAGGAGTGGAATGTCTTCAGTGGTGCAAGGGGAAAGGATTTTTCTGGGAACTGTGACTGTCTTTACCATGAAATCAGTTGAATGCTATTACATCAGCCTCATGACTAAGGACAAAAGAATCCAGACCGTCTACCAAAATGTTTTACTAATCTGTCCTCCCTCCCCTTACGGAACATATAGGTAAAGAAAAGGGCTTCCTTTTCCACCCAGTTTGCACCAACATGTGTAAACTATGGCTCTGTGTGGTTGAGCAGCTACTTACAAGGTAAGGGTCCTTAAACTTAAGTTCCTCTTCTATAATCACATTGAAGCCTCAAGGGACCGCAGAGCTAACACATTTTTTTTCCTCTAAAGTCCAGCACAGATCAGCTGAAACGGCACACGGTGGGGACAGCAGGAGGGGCTTTTGGCACTTTTCTTGTATTTAAAATAAATTTTACAAGCCCACACTCCTGAGCCTTGAGATCACAGGGAGCAGAGGCCACTCTGAGTGCCGGGGTGCCTTCTCGAATGGTCCCATCTGCACCAGCTGCCTGGAGACACCGCCTGCTAGCTCTGTGCTATCCACGGCTAGCGTCTCCAGCACCCGCCCTCCCAGCAGCCCTGCCGCTCTCCAGCCTCAGAGCTAAGCCTGACCCGGCTGCCAATCTCCAAAATAAAATCAATGTGTGACCTTATTCACCAGATGTACCGAAGAAACAAGCCCAAATGAAGGCCAACTTTGAAGCCAAAAAGGGAAGATGAGAAGTGGGGGAGAGAGAGAAAGAGGAGGGGAAAGAAACTTGGCTAGACATGAAAGCTGTCTTGTCTGTCTGTTCCCTATTAGGCGCAATTCTCTCGCAATCTGCAGCCTCCACATAATTCTCTTAACCAGAAACTCTCTGGAGAGATAGTGTCAGAGGAAAAACAAACAGAATAGCATCTTCTGACAGCAAAGTCACTTAAAAACCTATTTGGGAGGGAAGAAGAGAGATGTCAGCACCTCAGGGGAGGGCACTCCTTCGCAGCAGGCCACATGTGGAGTTACATTTGCCCTGGGATTGGACAAGGACAGGCAGGGGCCCAGGAGAGGGTTGATGCGCGAGGGCAAGGCAGTCCCAGGAAGCAAAAGCCCAAGGCCTCTGCCCTCCCAGCGCCTCTGATGCCCAAGATCTACCTCTCTGTGGACACCACACTAAATCCCGCAGTGCAGGGCTTTCCACAGCCCCATGGCACACTCAGAGGAATTCAGAAGAACTGCCTTAGAGAAAAGGGGTTCCTTGGCCAGACATGGTGGCTCCACACCTATAATCCCAGCATTTTGGGAGGCTGAGGCAGGAGGATTGCTTGAGGTCAGTAGTTCAAGACCAACCCAGGAAACGTAGCAAGACCCTGTCTCTAAAAACAATTTAAAAATTAGCTGGGGCCGGGCGCGGTGGCTCAAGCCTGTAATCCCAGCACTTTGGGAGGCCGAGGCGGGCGGATCACAAGGTCAGGAGATCGAGACCACAGTGAAACCCCGTCTCTACTAAAATACAAAAATTAGCAGCGCGGTGGCGGGCGCTGTAGTCCAGCTACTCAGAGCTGAGGCAGGAGAATGGCGGGAACCGGGAGGCGGAGCTGCAGTGAGCGAGATCGCGCCACTGCACTCCAGCCTGGGCACAGCGGAGACTCCGTCTCAAAAAAAAAAAAAAAAAAAAAAAAAATTAGCTGGGTATGGTGGTGCACACCTGCAGTCCCAGTGACTCAGGAGGCAGAGGCGGGAGGATCGCTTGAGCACAGGAGAGTGAGGCTGCAGTGACTGTGATCACACCAGCTGTGATGCACTCTAGCTTGGGTGACAGAGGGAGACTGTCTCTTAAAAAAAAAAAAAGAAAAAGAAAGGAAGAAAAAGAAAAAAAAGGGGGAGTTCCACTTCGTCAAAACTCCGCCTTCCCACTGCTGCCGGCCACCAGCCAGAGGCTGAGAAGTCAGCTATTGCTGTAAGACTGTGAGCCAGCAGCCAACTCCCCAGGCAGCAAAGGCCTCTTCTCCCCAGCCCCTTTGACCTGCCTTTGAGCTAAGCAGTCTAGTCCTGGGGAAGCCAAGCCCCAACCCCCACCCCACAGGAGCCCAGTGGGGAAGGTTCTGGAGGAGTGAGGGAAGCAGGGCAGGAGAGGGCGGCCTTCTGTGCTCAAGTTTCTGGGGCAGGCATCCTGTTATAGGAGAAACTTTTTTTTTTTTTTTTTTTTTTTTAAGGAAGAAAAACTAATCAGAAGAAAGAAGCAAGCAAGAGCTTTTCCCTGCCTTTCGGACTTGTTTATTACCAAGATATCTGATTTCAGCAAAGGAAACCGGCACTGGAGCAAGGTTTTTATTGGCCGTGAGCAAGAGGAATTCATGGTTTGCCTTTGATTTGGCTTCCCTAGAACATGAGGTACTGAAGGGTGCTCGCTGCTTTGATGGAGCAGCCCAGGACTTTGGGGCCCCTCAAATTCCCTGTTTTCTGCAGCACTGACTCAAAGTCCCGCTGGAGGCTGAGGGTGGAGCAAGCGGCAAGAGTGGAAGGCAGCCTCGTAAACGTTTCATAGAGAGATCAGAATGAAGGACAGTAGTTGCAAAGTTCTGAAACTAGAGCCTCAGCAAGGGCCCTGGCCCACCCCCCTTCCCCGGGAGTAAGGGGCTGGGGGAGGCCAGGTCTGGTTTGCATGAAAGCGCCATGTTCCAGACTTGTCTCTGACCCGTGGAGCTAGGCAAGCTGCAGTCACAGGGCCGAAGCCTCATAGTTTCAATGTGCGGGGAGGATAAAGCCAGAGATGCGCAGGGTCAGCCTCTGACAGCAGCGCTCCTCAGCTGGGAGGGGCGAGGGCTCTGGGGAGGGGTGAGCAGCTGGGCCACTGGCTCACAGAACTGCAGCTGATCCTGCAGGGCCCCCACACACACCATCGTGCAGAGATAGCCGCTGTGCAGGGCCTGGAACCCCGGCCAGCCCATCTCTCCCTCGGCTGCGTGTTCCCCGGGAGCATTTCCTGCATGGAGGAAAGGGGAAGGTGTCCTCCTATTTGGGACACCTTGGGTGAGCCTCTATCTCATTCTCTCTTTTTTCCTCTTTGTATCCTGTCTCTGTCTACTTTCGCTCTCATCACCCTTCTCATCCATCTCCCACAAACCACTGGTGAAAGGAAGATCCCCAAACCAAAGAGCTCTAGGTGGCCCTGCCTTGCTTTACTGCTGTGGCCAGCCAGGAGTGTG